ACGCGAGAATTTTTCACAATTCGACGAACGGATAAATTTTGGAGCGGAACATGGACAGATATGTGCATTGAACAGACATTGATAAAGACGATGAAAAACATTGCTGGACTGACTCACGGACGAGGAAGATAATGTTCTGACTACGTGGACTCTGGGCACGGTACTTCTGCATAATATTTGCGTTGAAATTGAAGAAGTTAGCAACGTACACTGCTGGTCAATAATATTTGAACACCATGCATACTTATACGGTATAAGGATAAAAATGTTTAAGACAAACATGGATATTTTATCAAAATCAAAGAAACCATTATATTTATTTATAAAATATAAAAAACAAAACAAAACATTATCATTTGATCCTTACGATTGGAAAAAATTAAACCTTATGTGTAATCTACTAAAAATAAATATTTAGTTGACAACAATGATCAATTTCCATTCCGCATGGCGCTGTATCTTTATCCGTGTGTTTGCAAATATTTCCGTTATGTTTCTTTTATGTTATCGTAACGTGAAAACAATTGTAAAAAGTTGAGAGACAAGGATTTGATAACAAGGTATGTGGTGCTCTAGTATTAATACAAGTTTTTATTTTTTATTAAATAAAAAAATGTTTGTATAAATTATAAGAGATAACTCCGCGATTGCGAGTAAATGTGGACCGAGAGACGAGGGCCGTAATCAATACATACTACAACAATGATGGTCTTTCTATTCGTAACATTGCCTCAAACTGAAGATCCCCAGATCCTGTTGCATACACTATCAAGCGTTTTCGTGAAATTAGAACCAAAAAAGATCGACCACAAAGTGGGAGGCCACAGGTGATTACGAAAACTGAAAATAAATCCATCGTGCTGCTCTCCAAACGAGATAGACGGCGAACTGTTCCTATAATTCAAGCAGATTTTAACTTAGGTCACGACAAGCAGATATTTGTAGCAACTATCAAAAGAAGACTTAGATCAGCTTATCTTTTTGATAGAGTTGCTGTACGGAAATCACTTCTTCATTCAGTAAATAAAAAAAAGCAATGGGCACAGAAACACAAGAATTTGATTGTAAAAGATTAAAAAAAAAATGTTATACGTAAATAATCAAACAAAAAATGTTATAGACAGATGAGTCCAAATTTGGGACATTTGGCAGCAAAAGAAAAATATACGTACGATGCTTGGCGAATGAAAAGATGATGCCCAACTGCATTACACCAACTGTTAAACATGGTGGAGGATAATAGCTTGAGGGGCATTTTCCTATGGAGTGAGTGCTCTGTATAGAATCAATGGAAATCTTGACCAAAAAGGATACCACAAAATCCTTGTTTATCCTACAGGAAAAAAACTGAGCGGCCGGTGATTCATTATGCAGCAAGATAATGACCCGAAACACACATCAAAATGCAAAAATTTCTTGATAAAGAAAAAAGAAGAAAATACATTAAAATTAATGGAATGGCCACTGCAATCGTCTGATCTAAACTCAATCGAACTTTTATGGGAAGAACTTAACCGTAAAATGAGGAACCAGTGTTCAACTTTTCAAGAAAGCTTCTGGAATATATTAGAAGCTCTTGAAAGCAATTAGAGCCAATTGTTTTGCAAAATCTAATCAACAGGATGCCTAGAGTAGTTAAAAATGTGTTAAGGGCTAAAGGTGGCTTCTTCGATAAAAAGAAGATTTGACTTTTTCTAATCATAAGGGTCTCAAATAATAATATCTTGTTTTATTTTTCTATACTTTATAAATAAATATAATATTTTCTTTAATTTTAATCAAATATCCATGTTTATTTTATACATTTTTATCCTTATACCGTAAGTATGCATGGTGTCCAAAGATTTTTGACCGGCAGTGTATGTTTTGCTGCACCGAACCGAACAACACGTCGACATGAGAACATCACAAATTATTCGCGATAATGAAGATGCGATAATGCAGACACTTACCGACTGGCTAGCTCAACACCTTCCTTTCCCAGAAATCCAAGAACTGATAAGTACTGAAGTGATTGGAGATGAGAAAATAAACTGCCACATGGCACAAGAAATCGGGACATCAAACATGTCTAAGGTAATCGGTATTGATTTTCACTCAGTTAAATTTAAACGAAAAAATAATGTGATTTCTCTTGCCTCTGTCAATGTAAATCTTTGGATTGACAACGTCGTAACTGTAATAAATCCACTATTCATTTTTTAAAGAATGTGCATAGCGAAACAATCAGATGAAGAGCTGCAAGAATATCTTCAATAGGAGCTGGCACCATTTCTTATATCGCTTTTCACAGAAAATGGTATGCGAAAAACAGGTAAATCAACTATTTATAAATTATTCTCGCTGTGTGCCGATGATATCGAATTTGAAAACAATTTGAAAACAATTTGAAAGTGTATACGTTATTGATACATTTCTTGTTACGTAGAATGGTTTAGCGTCGCAGTGAGTTGTTTGCGTGAATTTGCGAAAGCTACGTACAGTTTGTGAAGTCAAAATATCAATCGAATGCTATTATAGTTTTTGATGGTTATTCAGACGACGCAGCAAATCGTATGAAGATTGCAGAACGCATCGCGAAAGCATTTCTCAGCTAATTTTGATCAGACCATAGTGTCTATGGTTTCTCAAGATAAATTTTTCGGAAATAAAAATAATAAAAGATTCATTTCAATGTTAATGAGCAAACTTAAGGATGCGAACTTCACTGTTAAACAAGCCCCAGAAAATGCTGATACTGATCGTCAATACTGCCACTGACACCTCATCTGTATTTGATTCGATCATAATCATCAACGAAAATGTGGATTTTCTAGTTCTCTTGACAACTCTAGCTTCAAACCAAGCCAATTATATTTTATTAAATTGGGCAGAGGAAAAACCGAACAACAGGTGTACTCTACTTCAAAGCTACTGTTACGAGAAATGGCAAAACATGTACTGTTTCTCCATGCATTTAGTAAGTGTGATACCATGTCTGCTTTCTTTAACAAAGGCAAAATTAAATTTCTCAACACATTGCGGAAGAATATACATTTGATAAACATTATACAAATTTTTAATGAATATAACATTATCCTTAAAGATGCTGGAGAACGTTTTCTTCTAG